ACACACACACACACCCGGAGCAGTGGGCAGCCATATTACTGCAGCGCCTGCGGAGCAATTAGGGGGTTAGGCGCCTTGCTCAAGGTCACCTGAGTCGTGGGTATTGAAGGTGGAAGAGCACTGTTCATTCACTCTCCCCACCTACAATTCCTGCCGGTACTGAGACTCGATCCTTCAAGTCTGACTCTCTAACCATTAAGTCACAACTGCCTAATGGTTAGAGAGTCGGATCATATGACTCTCACACATGAAACACAATGTAAAGTATATTTGAAGTCATGGACAAGCTCAATCGGACCCTTCAATCAATATACTGTCAAAACTGTTCCATGTATTATGTATTAAGACTTATTTCTCCTGCTTGAATAAGTCTTTAGATGTTTTGTGCTCTGTGACATTTTAGACCTCAGTCCAAAGATCCATCAAACATGTCGATTTGTGCTTTAAATTTGTACTTTCTCTTTAATAATGGATTCACTGCTAAAGTGATCTGATTTGATCTGAGAGAGTGAAGAGTTTGTCATTGTTCTCTTCAGGTTGAGTAAGTGTGGTCTCACAGATGAAGGTTGTGCTGCTCTGACTTCAGCTCTGAGATCAAACCCTGAACACCTGAGAGAACTGGATCTGTCATCAAATAAAATGGGAGATTTGAAAGTGAGTCTGCTCTCTACTGTACTGGAGAATCCTCACTGTAAACTGGAGAAACTGAGGTAAGACCATGGATGACTGACACATGAAACACCTTGTAAAGTATATCTAAAGTGTTCAGCCTCTTTCTGCTGCTGTGAGTTCAGCTGATTGAGCTGTAAATTATTGAACACATGAGCTGCTCCTCAGTAACATGATACTGCAGGACTGAGAGTCACACTGAAACACACTTTCCCACACAATCAACATTTCAATCTCTTGAATTTAAACAGACTTGAGCTAAACACAGTCAGAAATTAAAATATGGATTCATTCTTGCTAGAGATGAGCAGATCAGCTCTAACCACTCAAATCCACTGTTAAAATAAATTGGCTAACCACCACCCACCTGAAACTAAGATTTTCTCTGATTTGGTTATCCTCACCCCAACCCCACCAAATTGTTACTTTAAAGCTGCAGTCCGTAACTTTTTTGGTTAAAAATGATCCGAAATCAATATTTGAGCAAGTACATAACCAGCTAGTGTTCGAAACTATCGCCTTACTTTAGCCCGATTCACAACTGTCAGTTTATAATAATGTTTTCTAATTTGAGTCGTACGGGTAGGTTTTCACGGGAAATTCGAGCATGGCACTGCGTCATTACGTCACGTCTGTAAACATAAAGAAGTTGTCCCGGCTACTAGGCTATCGCATGTGAGGATCCTGCAGGTGGCCGATCCTCTCGCTTTCGTTTCAGGCGAGGCGAGGCGCATCTCAAACAAACCTAAGGTGTTCGAGCGTATGATGTAAGTGTAGCAGAAGATGCAACGTAAGCTCCGGGGAGAGAGTGACGAACGCGGAAGCAGAGAGGAGAAAGCAAAAATGTCAGAGGATTTCGACATAAGGCAAGAGGAGAATGAGTTTTTTGCCCAGCCATATTTGTTTGAACCAGGAACTCCGCGAGATGGAGGAGGCTGCAGCAGCGGCGGCACAAACTACAGATGTAGTTCACGTGGTTTCCCTGTGCTGTAAACAAAACCTGGTTCTCGTGAGACTACACTCTTCTCCCCGGAGCTTACGTTGCGTCTTCCACTATGCCTACGTCATACGCTTGAATGCCTTGTTGTGAACGCACCTGCTTAAACGACCGGAAGCTGGAGATTACAGTTTATACATTTTTTTTTAATTTATATTTTTCTTACATTAACACAATTTTTTATAATTGCATCCGTATTTTGATCAAACTTCAACCTGTTATCAATAATCGTTCCTAAATACTTGTATTCCTCTACTACATCCACCTGTGTGTCGTTAATGACCACCTGTTGAAGTGCAAGTGTCTCTTTAGTTTTTGACACATTCAGATCAAATTTCATCCTATTACACCACAAAATAAAATCATACAAAACTGAACCCAAAAAAGCCGCACAAAAGCTCCTCTATTTTCCAGATGTCGACAGGAGCATATAGCAAAAACAGTTTTGCATCATCTGCCTCTTCCAGCGCGATATGCAAACTGGAACGGATCTAGGACTGGTCCAGCAACCGTCATCATATGCTTTTTGATCTCTTTTTCAAAAGCCTTCATGACCAAAGAGGTCAAGGCAATAGGACGGTAAACATCAATGCTTAAACATAGCACCTAATGAATCTGAGGTGGTCAGGTGGTAGTGGTACAAGTTGTTTGAAAATTCCCAGTTCACAAGTTGTAATTACGAGTTCTACGAAGACATGAAGGTATCATGGTAATTATGGCATTAACAAACCTTCAATTCTTCAGGAATATTGCAAGCAGGATCGACAGAACCGGTGTTGTGCCCAGTTCTGAGTTTAGAGATATGTGTATAGGGCTGCACGATTATGACAAAAATCAGAATTGCGATTATTCCCTTGAAATTGTAATTGCGATTATTAATTACGATTATCACAATTTACAGTGAATGATGTTTTGATTAGCTTTATACCATTTTTTGAAGCAAATGCATGCCACATTTTTATATGAAAATAAACATGCTGAAAACACTCTTCCTGAAAAACTTTTATTGCTTTTCTATAGCATTAAGCTTCAAATGTCAACTATACATTGGTTTGGATTCTTTAAATAAATAAATAAATAAAAATATGCATGGTATTATAATGTTGGAAAACTAACATTTAAAACAATGGGGGAAAAAAACCTTAAGGTAACCTGTAGAAAAAAAACACACACACTTATACACGCAGAATAATGTAAGTGGACTTTTTTTTTTTTTTTTGTAATTGCACCTTTGAACGATTACGTAATGTAAATGCAGCCATAGTATATACACATTTGTGTCCTCATACACCATGTATTCACACACACTCACACACATACACACACACACACACAAATCACAATCAATATCAACTCCATACATGTTAGCACAAAATGTTATAATAAAATGTTAAATTCAGATGTTTTATGATCATATTTTGTGCTCTGTGACATTTTAGACGTGAGTGATCAATCAATCAAAAATGTTGATTTGTGTTTTAATTGTGTACTTTCTATTTAATAATGGATTCACTGCTAAACTGATCTGGGGTGCGTTTCCCAAAAGCAACTATGGTCGCAAGTTCTGTCATTACCAATAGATTTCAATGGAACTAACTACCATAGTTAGCTAACGATGCTTTTGGGAAACGCACCCCTGATCTGAGAGAGTGAAGAGTGTGTCATTGTTCTCTGCAGGTTGAGAGATTGTGGTCTCACATATGAAGGTTGTGCTGCTCTGACTTCAGCTCTGAGATCAAACCCTGAACACCTGAGACATCTGGATCTGTCTGGGAATGAACTAGGAGATTCAGTGAATCTGCTCTCTTCTGTACTGGAGGATCCTCGTTGTAAACTAGAGATACTGTGGTAAGATCACATTTCTAAGACTAAAACCAGCTTGTAAAATAAATGTTTAGTAAACTCACTAAATCTCAGAACAAATGACTCTGATGATTAAAGATGATGTTAATTTCATCCATCTCCATCACATCTGCTCACATTCTGCTCCTGTTTTTGACCCACCAAACATTTACTGGAGCTTCTGGTAGTTTGATTAATACTTCTCAACTTACTCCTCTCCTTTAAAGGTTCATTTTCATTTTGCTTACTTGTTCTGAAATCCCATGAGCTCATTGTGTTCTCATAGATGTCATAAAGCATGGCATGAATTGAGGTGAAACTGGAATACATTGGATAGCTGGAAGCCTTTGCTGCTATTGTGAACGAGCAATCTGAACAAAAAGCAAATTCTTAGTTCTGATTGGAAAACTGGAGATTTAACATGAATGTTCAGATATCATTATTGTGTAAAAGAGTGAGCCAGAGCCTATGTGACTTACTGCAGATGACGACTAACTCAGAGGTTTAGAGTTCGGCAGTCCTCACATATCCTGAGCAAAGTATTATTTAAGAAAATAAAGACAATAAAAACTCCATAGACCATAAGCTGGAGGTAAATGTGAGGAAAAGAAGCTCATTAACATCATCTCAGTGCATGTGTAGACAATAGTTCTTACATGGTACATTAAAACTGTTAATATTTCATTACATTTTTATTCAGTTTATAAGCTGCCAGATGAGACCAAACACAACAAAAATATGTGTTTGATTACAAAAGTTAATAAATGTTATGCAATGGGGAACATGTGGGTCCTGTGAAGCAAATGTCCTCCTGTAGGTGTTTATTAGAGGTACATATGATGAGAACGCAAGGCAGTTCATTCCATTTTTGGAACCTTTTTTTTTTTATTATTATTATTGATTTCCAACATATAATATAAAGGTACTGAACAAATATAAACTACAACAAAGAAATAGAAAATATACAGTATAATATAAATAATACAGGTAAAAAAAATTTTTTATAATAATAAAAAACTAAACAGAAAAAAGCACAGGTATGTGTCAGGGTTGTGGATGAAGGGATGATGCAAAGACTCAGTAGTGCAGAGTAATGGGCTTTTAATAGTAAAATAAAACCAAACAATCAACAAAAACTACCCTGTGGCAGTGTTGCCAACTGCTTTCAATTGAAAGTAGCTAAAACCAGTAGCTAAATGTCACTAGATGACATCACAATGGCAAATTCACTGATCTATATAAAGATGAACGTAGATCAGTGGGCAAGATGAAAACTTAGATAAGGTTTGTCCAAGCAGTTGCTATATTTGTCCCTAAACTTTTGAAAAAAGTCTCAAAAGGGGCGGGGAAGTCGTTGCGATTATTAATTACGATTATCACAATTTACAGTGAATGATGTTTTGATTAGCTTTATACCATTTTTTGAAGCAAATGCATGCCACATTTTTATATGAAAATAAACATGCTGAAAACACTCTTCCTGAAAAACTTTTATTGCTTTTCTATAGCATTAAGCTTCAAATGTCAACTATACATTGGTTTGGATTCTTTAAATAAATAAATAAATAAAAATATGCATGGTATTATAATGTTGGAAAACTAACATTTAAAACAATGGGGGAAAAAAACCTTAAGGTAACCTGTAGAAAAAAAACACACACACTTACACACGCAGAATAATGTAAGTGGACTTTTTTTTTTTTTTTGTAATTGCACCTTTGAACGATTACGTAATGTAAATGCAGCCATAGTATATACACATTTGTGTCCTCATACACCATGTATTCACACACACTCACACACATACACACACACACACACAAATCACAATCAATATCAACTCCATACATGTTAGCACAAAATGTTATAATAAAATGTTAAATTCAGATGTTTTATGATCATATTTTGTGCTCTGTGACATTTTAGACGTGAGTGATCAATCAATCAAAAATGTTGATTTGTGTTTTAATTGTGTACTTTCTATTTAATAATGGATTCACTGCTAAACTGATCTGGGGTGCGTTTCCCAAAAGCAACTATGGTCGCAAGTTCTGTCATTACCAATAGATTTCAATGGAACTAACTACCATAGTTAGCTAACGATGCTTTTGGGAAACGCACCCCTGATCTGAGAGAGTGAAGAGTGTGTCATTGTTCTCTGCAGGTTGAGAGATTGTGGTCTCACATATGAAGGTTGTGCTGCTCTGACTTCAGCTCTGAGATCAAACCCTGAACACCTGAGACATCTGGATCTGTCTGGGAATGAACTAGGAGATTCAGTGAATCTGCTCTCTTCTGTACTGGAGGATCCTCGTTGTAAACTAGAGATACTGTGGTAAGATCACATTTCTAAGACTAAAACCAGCTTGTAAAATAAATGTTTAGTAAACTCACTAAATCTCAGAACAAATGACTCTGATGATTAAAGATGATGTTAATTTCATCCATCTCCATCACATCTGCTCACATTCTGCTCCTGTTTTTGACCCACCAAACATTTACTGGAGCTTCTGGTAGTTTGATTAATACTTCTCAACTTACTCCTCTCCTTTAAAGGTTCATTTTCATTTTGCTTACTTGTTCTGAAATCCCATGAGCTCATTGTGTTCTCATAGATGTCATAAAGCATGGCATGAATTGAGGTGAAACTGGAATACATTGGATAGCTGGAAGCCTTTGCTGCTATTGTGAACGAGCAATCTGAACAAAAAGCAAATTCTTAGTTCTGATTGGAAAACTGGAGATTTAACATGAATGTTCAGATATCATTATTGTGTAAAAGAGTGAGCCAGAGCCTATGTGACTTACTGCAGATGACGACTAACTCAGAGGTTTAGAGTTCGGCAGTCCTCACATATCCTGAGCAAAGTATTATTTAAGAAAATAAAGACAATAAAAACTCCATAGACCATAAGCTGGAGGTAAATGTGAGGAAAAGAAGCTCATTAACATCATCTCAGTGCATGTGTAGACAATAGTTCTTACATGGTACATTAAAACTGTTAATATTTCATTACATTTTTATTCAGTTTATAAGCTGCCAGATGAGACCAAACACAACAAAAATATGTGTTTGATTACAAAAGTTAATAAATGTTATGCAATGGGGAACATGTGGGTCCTGTGAAGCAAATGTCCTCCTGTAGGTGTTTATTAGAGGTACATATGATGAGAACGCAAGGCAGTTCATTCCATTTTTGGAACCTTTTTTTTTTTTTTATTATTATTGATTTCCAACATATAATATAAAGGTACTGAACAAATATAAACTACAACAAAGAAATAGAAAATATACAGTATAATATAAATAATACAGGTAAAAAAAATTTTTTATAATAATAAAAAACTAAACAGAAAAAAGCACAGGTATGTGTCAGGGTTGTGGATGAAGGGATGATGCAAAGACTCAGTAGTGCAGAGTAATGGGCTTTTAATAGTAAAATAAAACCAAACAATCAACAAAAACTACCCTGTGGCAGTGTTGCCAACTGCTTTCAATTGAAAGTAGCTAAAACCAGTAGCTAAATGTCACTAGATGACATCACAATGGCAAATTCACTGATCTATATAAAGATGAACGTAGATCATTGGGCAAGATGAAAACTTAGATAAGGTTTGTCCAAGCAGTTGCTATATTTGTCCCTAAACTTTTGAAAAAAAGTCTCAAAAGGGGCGGGGAAGTCGCTAAATCTAGCTACAAAGTAGCTAAATTGGCAACACTGCCCTGTGGGGGAAAACAGGCTGGCAAGGCAGGATCACGACACGACACATTCAATGGTGATACGATGACGAACTGGCCCAGGACTTCAAACACAAGGACAATAAATAGGGAGCAAATGAGGAGGGTAACGAGGGAACACATGTGGGGCAAATTAACCAATAATCAGGTAACAAGATGGGTGGGGTCAAGACAATTGACATGAGAGCACATGGCACACAGGAAACAAAGACAAAAGCCATGTGCTCACACAAAACAATCACAAGCCATGTGCTTGAACAAAACAAGACATGAACACGCAGCTAATGAGAAAACTCATAAGCCGCGTGTTCACACAAGACAACAAGAAAAGCACGCGGCTGAACACAAACCGCGTGCTACACAATACACAACACACGTGGACAGAAGAGCGCACGGCCGAGCGAACTCGAGACCGCACGCTCCCACAACAGACAGAACATGGAGCGTGAGTGTCCGGACCCTGACACGAAATAGAAACTCAACCAGACATGAGTGCCGGGATCTGAACACCACGCTCCAACATGAAACAGGACACGCAGACGAGAGCGCACGTGCAATATATTGGAATATTATACCTTTGAAGAAATTCTATGTAGGTATACAAGTGTCCATTTTCATTAAATAACTGTTTAACAAATATAATACTATTGTCTACCCATTTTTGAAAAAACAAAGTTTTATGTTTAAACATTATATACTGTACCTGTTATTCCAAATTATACATTTATTTGGAGAGAAATTATGCTTATATATAAGCATCCATGAGAGTAGCACCTGCTTCTGAAAATTACTTAATCTAACTGGAATCTTACTTATTTCAAAGTTGCATTGCAACAGAAAAGCAACACCACCCATCTTTTTTTTTTAAAGATTAGATTAGGAATTAAATACCAAATTATATTTTTATATTGAAAGTAATTCTTGATCCATCTATTCTTTAAAAATGCATTTGATGTGCTGAAGTCGAGCACATTTAAGCCTCCATTACCAACCGAATTAGTTAAAGTACCTTTTTTTTAATGTAATGAGATCTATTTCTCCAAATGAAATTGTAAAGATTTGTATCTATTTCTTTAATGATGTTATTAGGGACTTCTAGTGAAATAGCAGGATAGAGCAGACGAGATAAACATTCAGTTTTTGATAAAAGAATTCTACCGTTCATTGACAGGTCTCTCATTAACCATAAATTAAATCGATTTTTAACTTTTTGAACCACAGGTTGAAAATTAAGCTGTCGCCTTTCCCTTTCCTTTTCATCTTTACATATTTTGATTCCTAAATAGGTAACAACATTCTTTACAGGGATGCCATTAATATCAAGAAGTTCACCATTTTTCAGAGGGAGCAAGTCACATTTGTTTAAATTTAATTTTAACCCTGAAACCAATGAAAAGTCATTCAAACAATCAATCACATTTTTAATTTCTAATGAATCTCTAACAAATATTGTTGTATCATCTGCTAATTGACAGCATTTTATTTCTCTTTCTAAAATCCTGATTCCGTGAAAATTATATTTGTTAATGTAAAGAGTCATTGTCTGGGTTACAAGTAAAAATAAAAAAGAAGATATTGGGCATCCCTGCCTTATGTTATGCCTCTTTCTAAGATAAATCTGGGGGTAGTGCCATTTGCAAGTTTTACTGAGCTATTACACCCATTATATAAAGTATAAATGGCCCTTTTAAAGAAATCACCAAAGCCAAAAAAATCCAAAGTCTCAAACATAAATTTGTGGTTAACGGTGTCAAATGCTTTATAAAAATCTACAAAAAATATAAAACTTTCACTATCAATATACTCATTATAATCAATCTCCCCATTTATATTAAGTTTTAATACAGAATTCAGCTCAGCATTTATTTTTTCTAAATTAAAAAAGTACCTGGAGTTTTTTGTGTGTGAACACATACTCACAGAAGAACTTCAGAACAGAAGTTTACATCTCCGAACCCCGCATAACATTAATGTTCACCTGATGGCATACTGTAGGCATTGTAAACTCGAGTCAAACATAAATGTCATTGCCTACTTCACAAAAATCTCCTTCCCATCCACAAATGCTCTGGTCCCAACAAAATAAGCCCTCCTGCCTTCTTTTCGTGCAGCTTCAACACTTGGCCACAGCTGACTCCTGGTCTCTTTATCAACTGCCGTCAGATCTTCAGCAAATCTCAACTTTCTTTCAAAAAACTGCTTTTCTTTGCACTTTTCCACAGCAAGTCTCTGATATGCCTGGATCTGAACAGGAGAATCACAGCTCTTGGCCTCTGGTTCACGTCGAGCCTCCTTCCCACATGATGAACCACGTCAATTTCGGCAGCGAACTTTCCCTTTTCCTCTGGCAGCACTGCAGCGCAGATGTCCATGACCTTCTGTGTAATGTCTTTGCCTTCATGTTCGGCAAGACCATGAAGCCTCAAGTTCCAGCGCCTTCTATATCTCTCCATTTCGTTCACTTTAACTTCCAGATCCAGTGTTATCTTGTCATGGGTAATGCTCAATGTTTTCAGTCCAGTCAGATCTGCTTTGATGTCATTGATCTCACGAGACAAGAATTTCGGTGGATTTCTGGAGAGCCTCAATCCCGTCAGAGTTCTTTTGATTGATTTTTTCCAAACCGTCAGTTCTTTCGTTAATTTTTTCTGTCAGCATTCTGACGATGTTATTTTGCAGGTCGCGGAGGGATGGCTCGTTCTTTGATTTCTTTGAATCGGGGGTATGCGGAGCCGAATCAAGTTCTGTCAAACCTTTAGAAAGCAAAATTTCACGTTGCTGTTGGATTTGTGCATAATCATGCACCTCCGCGATTTCATGTTCAGCATCCATCCACACCTCTTGAGGGTCTTTCTTGGAACTTTGTCTCTCTTTGCGTTTTCCAGCCATAGCTTGCAGTGACGTCAATTAGCTTGCACATTAACGGCGATTAAAACTTATTGATGAGATATATTTACAACAACAAATACAGCTCAAAAGTGGAGTAAACAAGATTACAGAGTTATTACTCGATCAGGTTAATATAATTAATACAAAGGGTGGGAATTGGGACAGATTAACATCCTCCACGGTCGCCATCTTGCGCGCCCCCCATTTTTGGAACCTTTCTTTGACTGAATGCTCGTTGCGGTGACGTCACGGGACGCGTCTAAGCCCAAAATCTGCGGCAATTATGAAAATTTGCGAGCTCTTGCGAAAATTGCGGAGTTTGCTTGATTTTGCGATAAATTCAGCGATCGCAGAATTGCAAAATCCTGGAGGGACTGGCGCAAACGCTCTCCTTCTTAAAAAGTAAAATTATTATATACTTCCAATGCTTCATCACCAACCACATGAAGAAATAATGATGCATTCATTTTCTCTGACTTAAGATCTCCATCAACTGCAGATAAATACAGCAGAAATGTTTGTTTAAATCGTCTCCAATTTTCAGCAACATTACCGGAGAGTTGGAGCTTCGGGGTGGCTTTAATCCTTCCATCTCCTCAGTGTTGTCTCGTCACATGTGTGCATGTAATCCGCAAACTTTTGTTCTCTACTCTTTTTGTATATTCCACACGTTCCTTTAGCTCCACCACTTCTGACACCGTTTTGCTCATGGTTCTACCTTTTAATAAATAAACTCCACATGCATTGAAAAGGAACTTTTATTTAAACACTTTTATTTAACAGCAGCAAAGCTGCCAACACACACATTATAGGCCATCTCTGATCACATGTGCACATGAGCCAACATATATCAGACAGAGTTGCCACAACTAATTAGAAACAGCACTTACTTACATCTTACTTACAGCACTAACATAAACATGCATAAATCTAATTCTATCAGCAGCAGTATGTGGCAGCGCTTGTCATTATATCTCCTCTCCTGCTCTGAGACCAGAGACAATAACAAATTACAATGGAATGACAGTTCACTTTGTGTCATGTTCTCTCCAGGTTGTGTGATTTTGGTATCACAGATGAAGGATGTGCTGCTCTGGCTTCAGCTCTGAGATCAAACCCTTCACACCTGAGACAACTGGGTCTGTCGGGGAATAAACTAAGAGGTTCTGGTGTGAAGCTGCTCTCTGATCTGAAGGTTGATCGACATTATGAACTGAAAGTATTTTTCTATTGTGAGTATATTTTTATTTGAAGCTTTTAAATTGGCCCAAATTTAGGAACAGGACTCATACACTGATCAGCAACAACATTAAAACCACTGATGGGTCAAGTGAATAACACTGATTATATTGTTACAATGGCACCTGTCAAGGGGTGGAATATTAGTCAGCAAGTAAACAGCCACTTCATCAATTACATATTTGGAATCAGGAAAAATGGGCAAGCAATAAGATATAAGTGACTTTGACAAGGGCCAAATAGTGATGGCTAGATGACTGGGGTCAGAACATCTTCAAAACATTCTCATATGTGACTGTCTGTGTGTTTTATTGTAGGACTCTCAGTATTTAGACGTTTCCTCAGGATCAGCTGATGGTGAATAAGGAGCCGCTACAGAGACACACAGTCACACAATCAACAGAGACTCAAGAGACACACAGTGGTCACACTGAATTCACATCATTTTCTTGTTTGTATCTTTTGTGGGTCTGTTCTTTTGAATTGCTGATGTCATCATATTTCCACAATTATGTGTTAAGGCATCTGCACACAGCCAAGGCTGCTCAAAATTTGATGTAATGCAGCATAAAAGCCAGACTAATATTTGTCTCTGTGTAAATGCGTTTATGCCACCTCTGAGCAGCATTAAACAGTCTGCGTAAAGACACATAAATGCCACCTGAGAAGTGCTTCTGTGCCACCTTTGCAGTATAAATTTGGCATCAGAGGACCTGAATTTACTGTATTATTTGGAGTTGTTTTGAATTTGCTGTATTGGTTACAATGTACACTCAATAACACTCAGTAACACTCAGTATACACAAGCATGTGAGAATGAGATCAACTGATGAATAACACTTTATTTTTACATATTAACTTTCAGTGTATATTTAGTATAACATGACAAGTTTTACATTAGAGAGCATGATGAGCCTGACTACTGAAGAGAAATAAATATTTTAAAAGTTATATTTTTTTACCTATAATATAAACTTCTGCATAACATTTTATTGTTTAGCTATTTTATATATGCCAATCTATTTAAATGATCTATTAAAGTGGACAGATTACTGAAATGTTTCCTTTTTTGGTTGAATACTGCTTACTAAACTGGAGTCTTTGTCTAGATGTATCTATTCTGCACGATCCTTCCCTTTTCTGACAAGAAAATAAAGTTAGTAAATAATGGCAGATTTTGGTTTTGTGTTTGCAGAGGAATTTTAATAATGTAGGTAAAATTTATTTTCTTTTGTAGTGTGATTTCTTTATGCACTTGAATGATCTGGTTTTAATGGAATCATTCCATACTTTAAGTTACTGTATAGTTAACATTCACTCCACATACCTATTTGGAATAACTGCTCTATCGTATTTAGAATAAAAAACTTTTTTTGAAAGATTGGATGGAAAATAGGAGACCCAATAGTTAATAGAACACACCATTTGGCTCGAAGTTTTGTATATTTTCACTTTCCTTTTTGGATTTTGGAACAAACCGTTACAGCTTCAGATCACAATGTGTTGAATCACTGAAAATTTGTATTTGTATGAAGTTAAAACAGAATAAAAACATCTAACAAATAAACCAAAATTGAACAATGCCAAATTTGTGTTGTAGTAATTAGATAATATTACTGAATACAGATATTACAATAAAAATACTTAGGTGTGGAGGCTCCCGTTTAGATAGGAAAGACAAGAAATACGTGTCCTGTCATATCTTAATTTAAATATGCTTCAGTCAGACTGAAGGTATCGAGCGTCACCCTGAAATACTCAGAGCAGTTGGTGAACATGCTTTACAATGATGTTTTAATGCAGTTAATTTCCCTATAAATTATTTCAATATCGGGACTTGGATATAATTCCATTGACAGAGTTTTAAGTGATTTTGGTGGCTCTGTAAGTTTAACAGTTTATGACATGTTTTTTTCACCTGAAACTTAACCTTGTCGCAGTTTATTTGTATCAATGGATTTCGGTGGACTAAACATTTAATATTAGTTTGATATTCATCATTTAATCTTTAAATTGATGTCACTTTATTACTTTAATCTACGTACTTTGTATCAGAGAGCTATATTTGATTACACACCCATAAAAGACCTGTCATCACAACAGTCAATCATTGGTGATTATTTGTTATAATAAAAGTATTATATTGTATTATTATGACTGTATGTGCTGTTAATATACATGTCATGTTTAAACCCCATTCAGGTGCTCTTCTATAAACCATGGGTAAAAAGAAGGGGAAAGACAGAAGTCCTCGAGCAGACAGCAGCACTGAGACAGCAGGTACATGTATGACAGCTGCCCTGAGCAATGAGATGCTGACAGTGATTTTAATCATGAAACCTCACACACGATTCTCCTGCTGCTTTGTAAGGGGTTTACTGCACTCACATCCGTAAATGAACTTGCCAGTTTGTGATTGCTGTGACCGAGCCAATGAGAGTAGTTGTGGGCGATACATGTAGCCACGCCTCTAGAGGCAAGAGGCAGTGCAGAGTTTGACCCATAGTCTAGACCAGGGGTCACCAAACTCGGCCCTGGAGGGCCAGTGTCCTGCAGAGTTTAGCTCCAATCCTAATTAAACACTCCTGAACCAGCTAATCAAGGTCTTACTAGGTATACTTGTGTTGAGGCAAGTTGGAGCTAAACTCTGCAGGACACTGGTCCTCTAGGACCGAGTTTGGTGACCCCTGGTCTAGACCGTGGGTTTGACCGGATGAAGCTGAAATGGTGGTTAATATTAACTGACACTGATGAGGCAGAAACGGTATACATAGACACACGTAGTCGATTTCTAGAAAACCAAAAAGCCAAATGCAGGTAATTTTCTGTTCGGCAGGTGAATGTCGCAGTTTCACATGTCAGTCTGACCAAAGCCCGCTAGTCCCATTATCACATAATTTTTTTATATTCGGACCCTTCTATCGTTTTACACATTGAGAGATTCTTTCACCAATGCATAACTTATATTTTTACTCTATATGTTTTTAATATTATTAATTTAAAGTCATGTGCATATTTTCATTTAGCAAAAGTCTATCGTTCGTAACCGTAAGAAAACTTAAAAAATGCACATACATGCGTTTCAAACTGACTGAACGCAAACATTTAAAGTAAAATATGCATTTTAATAAAATATTTGTTGTTATTTTTATAAACTTAATCATATTTTTTATAAGAACAATAGATTTTTAAAGAGTCTTACATTTACAGGAAAAATAAATGTATTTGTGAAAATGTGTGTTCCTGCAGATCATTATGTATGTGGATAACAATAATAATAATAATAATTATTATTATTATTATTATTATTATTATTATTATTTTTTAGCAGACACATTTATCCAAAAAGGCTTATAAATGCTACTAATATATAACCTTACAAAAATACCCTGTACCTATTTTTTAACTAAGAACTGATACTAAGAACTGAAATCAAGAGCTGAATGAAGTAAGAACCATGATCACAAAAAATAATTTATCATAAAACAGAAGAACTACAAAGACCAACAAGTCTTTCATTTGCCCTGAGTGTGGAAAGAGTTTCACACTAAAAGGAAGCTTTAAAAAACACCAGCTAATTCATACTGGCGGGAAGCTACACAAATGCCCTCAGTGTGGAAAGTTTCACGCTAAAAATCCACCTTAATAGATACATGAAAATACACACTGGAGAGAAACTCTCCGGTTACTTACGTAACCTCGGTTCCCTGAGATAAGAGAACAAGCACTGCGACGAAGCGTCTCCACTTCCTTCCACTATAGAAAAGTGAAGCCAAAACATTCTCAGTATGGCCACTGTCATCTTGCGAAAATTATGTCATTTGGAGCCAGAGTCTGCGCAGTAGTGGTTCATTTGAAGCCCGAGTCTGCGCAGTAGTGATTGTGAGGTGGAGCCATGGTATCAAAGTCCCACCCAAACTCCCGCAGACCCAATCGCAAGATCACAATCATGATACCACACCTCGTTTTTATAGCATCAAATAACTAATTAAAAGCAAACTTATTAGAAAAACAAACACTTGAAGATACATCGGCATGCTAAGAACTACCTAAAATGACAGAAAATGTCTTTGGAAAAAATATTTGAAGTGTAAATTTATTGTTTAGTTTGTCTCAGGTCCTATTACATTACATGGAGAGGGCGGGGTTTATGACCTATACTGCAACCAGTCACCTGAGGGCGATCGAGACGCTTTGGCTTGACTTTTCAGGACTCGTGCGGCATGCTTGTTGTGTAACTGCACAAACCAATGGTGCTTGAGCCCGCCAGAAGGGGTGCTGAGGCGTAATCCAAGGCTATAGCATCTACTATCCAGCGAGACAGGCAGCCCTTTAGAGCGGCCTCCGAAGCAAACAAAGAGCTGCTCTGAGTGTCTGAACAGGCCAGAGCGCTCTACATACACTCTCAAAACCCATACTGGGCAGAGTGGATTGGGACCCTGCTCACCGTCTGCAACGGGGAGTGCAAGAAGGGTAATGACTTGTACTCTGAACGGGTTCGAGAGCACTTTTAGCACATAGCCGTGTCTCGGTTTGAGGATGACTCTACAGTCGTTAGGCCCAAACTCAAGACAGGAAGCACTGATGGACAGTGCTTGCATGTCACCCAATTGCTTGACCGCCGCTAAAGCCGAAACAAGGGTGGTCTTATGTGAAATGGGCCGCAAATCGGCCGACTGGAGTGGTTTAAAGGTAAGGGCACTTTAGGGCACTAAGGACTATAGACAAGTCCCAAGTCAGCACAGTGTGAGGACGAAGCGGATTCAATCTCCGAGCTCTCCTCAGAAACTTAACGACCAGGTCGTTTCTGCCGACTGATTAGCCAGCCACAAGAGAATGATTCGCCGTGATGGCTGCCAAATATACTTTGAGTGTGGATGGGGTGCGACCCATGTATAAACAGCTCTTGTATAAAGGTTAGCATGTGGGATATGTCACAAGAGGACGGGTCCAATCTGCGTGCTGTGCACAAATCACTAAAGACTGACCACTTAAGGGCGTAAAGGCGTTTCGTAGATGGTGCTCTAGCCTCTAAAATGATATTAGTCACACTCGCAGGGAGCTGTAAAGTCTCCCGTCAATGGGTCAAACATGAAGACTCCACAGCTCTGGCTGGGGATGCCAAATCATGCCCTTCACTTGCGAGAGAAGGTCTTTCCTCAATGGTATTGGCCACTGGGCTGCTGACAGCAGCTGTATCAACTCTGGGAACCATGTTTGGTGGGGCCACCAGGAGGACTGAACACCCTACTACCCTGACCCGTCTGATGACCTGAGGGAGCACGGCAAACGGAGGGAAGGCATACAGGTGAGTGCTGGGCCTATCGTGGGCCAGGGCATCTCGCTGTCTCGAAAAATAGATTGCGCATTGAAAGTTGTCTTTTGAGGCGAAGAGGTCTACCTCTGCTCGCTGTCTGGGAGAAACTCTTGGCCCAATTGATTTTCAACCCAAGACGCTGTAGGTGGCTGAGTAGCAGCGACCTGTGAGCGATGAGTTCCCGTTCTGATCTGGCTAAAATCATCCAATCGTTGAGGTAGTTCAGGATGCGGATTCCCATCTGCCTCAGAGGGGAAAGAGCCCCATCCACGTACTTCGTAAAAGTGGAAGGGGCCAGGTACAGTCCAAATGGGAGGATTGTGTATTGATAAGCCACTTCCTCGAATGCAAATTTGAATGTCTATGATGGTGGGCTATTTGGATATGAAAGTAAGCATCTTTCAGATCCACAGACAGAAACCAGTCCTCGGGACATATCTGCGTGAGGATCTGTTTCAAAATTAACATCTTGAATGCCTGGCGCATGAGCGAGTGATCCAGATGTCTGAGATCGAGAATTGGTCTGAGCCCACCATCTTTCTTGGGAACGAGGAAGTAGCGGATGTAGAAGCCTGACTCGCTGTCCACTAAAGGAACCACTTCTATGGCTCCTTTTGCAAGCAGTGTTTTTACTTAGGACTGAAAAACACGTGCTTTGTTGTCTGGTACCAAAGTGTAAGTAATTTCTCTGAAGCGAGGTGGCCTACGAGAGAACTGAAGTGAGTAACCTCTTTCTATTGCTTTTAGAAGCCAGCTTGACACATCCAGGATGTAGTGCGCAGAGCGAGGTCTGTTGCTGTGAGCAGCTCCATG